TGTCTAATCCTCACATGAAAGGGGTTTATCAGCTCTGTATATTTGCCATCCTGTCGTATCGGAGGACAATATAATCCGAGCTGATGCGATCCTGTCCCATGATGTAGTATTTTGCTCCGCCATCAATTGAGTTTGTTCTCGTGTAGCCATTTCAGGCGAATATATGGGTGCTGATGGGACCATCCGCACGACCCTGAAATGCTACCGTCATTTAAGTATGTTTACAGAACGAGTTGCCCGTGATACAACTCGCAAGGTGGCGAAGGTGCTGAGTGTGTGCGTGCGATCCGCACTTACCCTTTCTGAGTACCAGAGGCTTTGGACTATCCTGAACTCTGCCTTCACGAATTACGAGTCTGGTTGAACCGGTTTGATAAGGACTTGCATGGCGCACACGCATATAGGTTCTGTATCATGAGCCCTAAGGGGTAAACATTTGGCACGTCTAGTCATGTTCGACTGGGCGAATGCGACCTCCATCTCATCGTCGTCGTTGACACGTTGGAATCGTATGGGTTCTTTCAGCCTGAAGAATTATCGTAAGAGTCTCCCTCGACTCTCTGTTACTTAGATATGCCGACCTTTGGGATTGCCGGTCGGCGTGCGCTCTTAGAACTAGAATCAGCAGCCAGCATCAGCAGCCTGGGTTCTCTGCTGTCTCAACAGTTCGATTAAGCACCATGTTATCTCGATGATAAAATTTGCTGAGCACCTTGCCGGTGTAACAAATAATTCTTCTTCAGTTCGACGTCAAGTTCAGACTCGATGACTTGGCAGTTTCTGCATGTGTCTTTACAGTGAACAGCATGGCGTTAACAATAGTTCCGACAACAATCAACCTCATTCGTTCTATCACTGACCATTCGATATCGACCGAATGGGTATATTTATCATGCGTGGAGTGATAGATATCCCCTTCCTCATCAATCATGTATATGGTGGATGGAACGTTCTTAGTCGTTATACGGACCACGAAGTGTTACCAGTTCAAACGGGGTACCCTCCGCTTGTAAAATGACACAGTACAAGCTACATACACGAACACTGTGTAAGCTGCTGCCTCAAAACCTCACGTATCGTGTTCCTGCAGAGGAAGGCTCCATTTGATTATGTAATACATTCAAAAAAAGGAAAAAGCGGAACTGTTCTTAGTTCAGTTAAGTTTTCGAAGAAAGACTCTTTTGATCTTACGTTCACTATACCGCATTAGAATACAACAAATGGAGCTACTCCCTTACCACTCGTTGCGCGCATCTAGCAGCCACTGGTGGTTTATTGGGTTTATACAATGGCCTATATCAACCGATAAGTGGGGCAGTGCTGAACATTCTTTTAATTCATTATAAAAAACTTCTAAAAAGCCACTTAAAGGGAAATCTTTTCGTAAAGGATGTCCTTCAAAACCATAATCGGTTAAAATTTAACGTTAAAAATTACTTCAAAAAATTTAAATATCAAAATATATATAAAATAATATTTAAATTAGACTTCAATAAAAATAATGTTTACAAATTTTAGATATTCAGAAAAAAAGAATAGGTGAGTTACTTTTAATAATGATAATATTCGCATTGACCCTATCTGGTGCCAATGACATGTAACGGACTCATTTGTTACATCTGTCCCCTATTGGGCTCACAACCGAATCGAAAGGGTAACTGAGGGTATGCTGTCTGTGTTTTTTCAAGAGCGATAAAGCTCCACTTTTAGGTAAGACACACGCTCGCCCTACTAAAGTGCGCATCACTTGCCCTCTCAAACTCGGCGGGTAGCCTGTGCCTCTAACTGACTCTTCTTCTGACACACTTTTCGCGCGACAATGTCTACTGCATCTTTGGGCCGCTTGACGACATCGAGGAACTCTCCGGGCGTTGGCTCCCTCTTTCATACGAGCGACAACGGCCAAACGACACAGACCTCGACCCGGCCCCCTGCATCTAAGGCGGGACTTCTATCAACGTGGGTTGCAGGATAGCACTTGGGAGGCCTTCTTGCCGCTGCGTGCCCTGCTGGAGGAAGCGCCGAGTAGGAAACGGGGGGGGGGGGTGATAAACAGGCAAGATCTTCCGAGGTGTGGGGCACGTCGACATAGTTTCGATCACCCGTCGCCCAAGGCGCAAGCAAGTTCCTACTTTTCTACGTCCTTTTCGAAGTCGCCGACACGTTCGTTGACCGTGGATACCGATCCCACGAATAGAACTCGCCTAGAACATGATTCTGTCTATTCGGTATAGCCCAGGTGTTGCATGCAAGGGAAAAGCCAAGACCTCCCATTAGAGCCTTCCGGGGTGGTAATTGGCCGCACCTTTCGGGCGTCCCCTGCACCTTACATGCACCAGCGATCGAAGTCGTCGGTCACACATGCCCTTTGCGGAATGCTCGCCGTGGAGCCCGCCGTCTCGAGCCGGCAGAATGGTCCAGCGAGGAGAAGAGAGATGCTAAGGTAGAAGACATAGGCAAATTGTCAAAGAGACATCTTCGAATTGTCACAAGGACTCAATCGACAGTCTGATCCTCTCTCGTTGCTACGTTGGATACACCGCGGCTGATCTTTACGCATCCATCGATGTTTACGGTCAAACCCTTTTTGCATCGACGCCAACTTTATTACGTGTCGCAAGGAAAATTCTGTATTCTTAGCGTACAGACGAGGGAATTATTGCACCTGATCTTGCTTGATCGATGGACCTCTGCCCACCCATACATGTCGTGCTGACCTCTGACAACTAGAAGGGCGACGCCGAGATACACTCTCGAACGGTCTCCGGTCATATGACGCCTGTCTAGTGATGGTGTGGCATCCGATTTTCGGCTTGCGGTCGCACCACATGTACATTATATGATAAGAACTGCTGGGAGTCACCGGAGACCTCGAACAAAAGAGACATCAAAGTTCAATGTCCATTGCGCCTAGACTCAACTCTGCTAGCTCTAATTCGTGTGTTTTGCTGCTGGGTGTAACATAACAAATTGATTACGGTAGATGACACGCACTCGCTGCACATCGCTCCCATGCTTCCCACTCTCTCATAAATTTTTGTGAGTACATATGCTTGTGAGCAAACGCTATCAAGGCGAGAAATTGTGAAGACACATTTGATCCGAAGACATCAACCAAAAGAAAAGAAACCGCCAAAGCTGCGGCGACAACAGACGCGACCAGACAACCGATTTCGCATTCGTCTCTTTCGTCACGTGGGTTGACTTGTTAGCACGTACGTCGTTCACCTTTTTTATCAATGATCGGCGAGCTTGATGGAAGAGGATCGCAAACTAGTCATGCAGCATCCACGCTCCTTGCCAAATTGGGAAAGAGCAAACTGTAGCAGCTGTATCCACGTGTCATATGCATCCTGTCACATTCTACCAGATGGATCATCGGATTCGTGCTCCCCGGCTTTGCTGTAACGCAATGTGTCTGCACGGGTATCCTTCCACCAAAATGACATGTCGCTATCATTTCATCAGGTTCACGAAACATGCTTGGATGCCTTTTTCGTACGTGAGTCGACCGACGTGGCGGTACATCAGAAAGCACTTCCAAGGCACGTCCTGGACACGAGTTCTCTCATCACGGCTAGCACCTGGACCACGTAAGCCTGCCCGTGATGAATGACGGACACGCATCTCATCGTTCAGAACGCTCACGCCAAGAAGGCGTCGCTGCGGCTCTTTTGCTAGCCAAAATTCCATTCGCATCATCAGCGATCAGCCTTCAAGAAACCGCGTAGACTTGTGTGCAAAGCCTAATGGGCAATATTCATCATGTCACATATTGGATATGCCATGCCGTTCGCTAGCACTTCTTACAGCTGCTCGTTGAGCTTAATTGGGCATGTCTACCAGGGATAGTTGCGACAGGATGAGCGATAGTGTTGACGATGGAAACCCTCAGGACGGTTTTAGCATCGTGCTGACATGATTGTCATTGTTCCGAAGGATCAAGGGTGTTGTTCTTGAGCAGCTGTGGATGTGCACGTGAAGAAATGTCTCCAGTATAGTCTTCTAGGTCGCTTCTTCTGACTGAAGTAGCGAGCTAGGTACATAGCTAGGTTGAAGGCTCATTTTACTTTCCATTTTACCTTGTCGTGACGCAAAGTTCCTCCTCTGTGAGTCGTTCTCAGCTACAGATAGCCCGTGGCTTCAGAACACATCATTGAACTTCTCGCATGTTACCCAACCCCACCCACAGCACGCTTTTTGAGAAAAAGTTGATGACGCCACATCTTCGGGCAAGATGCGACAATGCGGGCTCTTGTTTGCATCTCATGATCGGTGCGCGGGCACACTGATTGCGCAGGCACACGGCAGCCCTTCTGCCAAGCATGTATTGCTTGCATCCATATGTCTCGCAGCAGAAAAAGCGAGATGTGAAGCAATGACAAAGCAAGTCCAAGTCGATCGAGCTTCGACCCGAGTAGGCAGCGCTTGAAGTCGCAGTATACGCTTTCCAGATATGCCCGATCGGGGTATGAACGAACGGCCTTCGAGGGACTAAACAAACTCGACTTGGAAAGGAGTTAGATTGACGCATCGATTGTCCATTGATCACTGTTGTCGTAGCGAGACTGACGCCACTACAATCACTCGCGATGTACACGAGAGACAAAGTGCGTATAGGGTTTAGGAAACGTAGCTTTAGCTCGATGAAGTCCCAAAGTCGCACTTGGTGGTCGTCAACAGAGTTCAGCAGACTGACGAACCGCTACCGAAGGATGTATCCAGCCATCTGCTTTGCAAGAGCGCACGATACGACGACATGCAATGCGTTGACGCCGCTCGCACCGCTACAACATGACGACCCCATCCTTCGGGCTGTCGAATCAACAATTCCTCACTGCTGTGCACGGTCAACACCCTAAAGAAATTGTTGAACAACCAGCGTTCTCGACGCTGTTGGCAGTAGTGTATCGCAAGTCATTCAGCAATTTGCCATACTCTGACCAACCAGCTTGGCGCGACGCTCCCCTCCCGACAACAACAACAACAACAAGAAGATCATGAAGGTGTTGCTGGGTGCCGCGGTGATTGCAGCGACCTTGTCGGCTGCTTCTGCTGCAGAAACTTGTGACCAGTGGGGCCAGACAAAGTCGGGCGACTACATTATCTACAACAACCTGTGGGGATCCAGCGCGGCTACGGAAGGCGGGAAGCAGTGTACCGGTCTCGACAGCGCCTCGGGCAACACCATCGCGTGGCACTCGACGTGGACGTGGAATGGCGGAAACACGAGTGTCAAGTCTTTTGCTAACGCCGCGCTGACTTTTGATGCCGCCCCTCTGACAGAGGTGACGTCTATTCCGTCGTCGATTGAGTTCGAGGTCAAGTACAGCGGCACAATCATGGCCAACTTTGTGTATGACTTGTTTACCAGCTCGAAATCCGATGGCGAGAAGGAATTCCAGGTCACGATCTGGCTGGCTGCCATCGGTGGTGTTGGCCCCATTTCGACCACGGGCAAGCCGATCGCTGAGGGGATCGCGATTGAAGGCACGAAGTGGGATGTCTATAGCGGACTGAATGGAGATATGATGGTGTACTCCTTCGTTCCGCCGACGCCGGTAGACGGCTTTGATGGCGACCTCTTGGCGTTCTTTACGTACCTGAAAAAGAGTCATAAATTCGACATGAGCCAGTACCTGATCAAACTGGAGTGCGGTACGGGGCCGTTCTTTGGCACGGACGTGACCCTGAAGGTGTCGAAGTACTCGGCTGCTGTCAAGACGGGCAAAGGCGGCTCGAACTCACCTGTTCAGTCGAGCCCCGACGACTCGTCAGTGACGCAAGAGGACGAGAAGGCCAGTAAGGAAGTAGAAGGTGAAGCTAGATCGAATGTGGATTTGACCGGTGAGCTAGAGGACACTCTATCTCCGGATGACGAGGCGACTGAGTCCGAAGAAGAGACAGCGGGCTCAGCGCTATCCCCGACGGTTAAGACCCCTCCGGCGTCGAGCGAAGATCCCTCGTTGTCCGACACCCCGATCCTGAAAACCAAGTGCATCCTCCGCCGCGACTAAACGCAGCTTTTCGTTCGGGTACGAACAGTCAATGGGCCTTGCGGTCGCCCAGCGCTTTGTATCGTGCGCTTTTCATCACCAGTGGACAGACACTCGTTTCGATGGACGTTCAGTCACGACCGTAGAGTAGATGCAGAGGCCATTTACATGTAAAAGCTTTCCAATGTCGAGTGAGTGTCGTTCCACGCAGACCTTTTTCGACACTTACGTGCGTCATGCTCTACTTTCACACGGCGAAGGCACGCACTGTAACTGTAACTGCAGCTGCAGTTCTTTGCAAGGTGCAAAAGCTGCCTTCTAGTCGTAGCTGCTGCTGCTGCTACATCTACTGACTCCATTGCACGTTCTTAGCAATTGTTGCCAAGCAGATATGAGCCGATCACGTCGGCCCTGTCTTTTCAACAGGCACCAGGTCGAAAGACAGTGTAGATCACTGAACACGCTCCTCCTCCTCCTCTACTCAGCCTACGTGCTGCATCGAGCACAAACCGCGCAACGTCGAGCCTTTCACGCAGCACGTGTCGATCTTGACGTGTTGCATAGATGTTCCCGCACCGTACGAAAGGAGCAAGCAGCGATCGCTGTGAAGGAAGCAATCAGCTGCGACATCTGACATCGAGTCGATGTCCTACACGTCTATCTACAAACGACGCGGACGTCGGATAGCCGGGTGGGGAACACTTAGCTTCGTCGACAAACAGTCCAACGCTCAGCTACTTCATCGGAAGCAGCATCAAGTGACTTCTGCAACAGATCGGCACCGGCCGGAAGTGTGTCTCCCGCGCACCCGCTCTACCGGCGGAACGCAAGTTTTGGATGATGCGCGACCAGGACGCGTCCGCGGGAGGTCTGACACGCATACTGACTTGATCTCGTCGCCGTTTTCCCTGTCATAGCCTTATGCGCATTAACTCACTTCCCAATTTCGGCTACAGAGCAACCTTGGCCAAGCGAAGAAGACCTCCGAGGAGCCGGTTTGTCGGACCCCTTTACCTTGGGCGGGGATTACCCCATACTGGGCCGAAGGTTGAAGGGGAGGGGCCTTCTTCCCGCTGCGCGTGCATCCGGAGGCAACGCAGAGTGCGACCCGAAGATAAGCAACCCGCCGATGTCCCGCGGGACGGGGAGTGCCGATAGAGATCGACATTCTTGTGTCTACGATAGTTTCTGCTTTATTTGACTTGTCTCCCCTCGCTCCAACTCGTTCGTTGTGCGCGAAACTCACTACCGCGAAGTGAACTCCCTCCAGAACGTGATGGACCTGTTGAGATCCGGTATTGGTCGTTGATGTAGACTAAGCACCAGGCCAAGATACTCTTCGTCTCGTGGTGCGTCTGGGCACGTCTGCACTACCTTGTGCACTGGGATCGGCCCGAAGAGCCAAGCGAGTCGACCACCACGGAAGCAGCCAGGGATTGCATCAAGATGATACGCTGAGACTCCCTGAGTGGAACAGACCTCCTAGCTATGCGTCCTCTGTTCCCTGAAGTAGATTGAAGCGCGAGCGCAGCCCAGCCATCTGGCCAAGAGTGCGCACAAAAGTTCTGACCCCGCACTTGGTCGACGGTCGTTCTCACGTGGCATTTCGGGGGTATCCCCCGTGACGTCTGGAGTATTGAGCCAGCAGAATGAGGAACGCGGTCGGAGAAAGTTTGTGTCGTGGTAGGCGACTGTGTTGGTTTCCACAAAAACAGACATCTGAAGTAGCAATTAGTAGCTCTGATCGATAGTCTGTCTGCCCTCTCCTAGTAGTAAGGGATGATTCCATCCCACCAACTCGACAACTTAGTGCAAAAGACTGCAATTACCGTCTACAATCCGTCATAAAAATTTCAGCGCAGCTATTGGCGGCTTTGGAACGTCAACGCAAGCAGCACAAACACACTGCATCTCTGCACGGGCCTTGCGCGTCCGATCCGCGCTGCATCGCGTATCTGTCGATTACAGTCCACTCGCCGATCGAACAACAGCAGCAGATAAGCGATCGTTGTACCACGACAAAAATCGCGTAGCGTGGCGAAGCGTAGCGTGACGTATTCAATTTCTTGTCTACTGACGACAGCATCCTAGAGTTCCTGTATGTTTCAGCTGCATGTCTTAGCTGCTGGCGCGCGTGTGTTTTTACCTGTCGTCAGCTTTGCAGCAGCACTTTACGGGCACCAGTGCTGTTAGCGACCACACGCGTACATACATAGAGCGAGACGCGGGCGATCGCAGTTGTATGTAGCTGCTAATGCTACCACAGCAACTGAACAATGTACCGGACCGAACCGGTGCAAGTCGATGCGGACAACGCACGTACGACAACATACCACCGAGCGTAACGAGCACAGCACGTGAGCCGTCTTTCGCCGCCCCGTCAAGGAAGTCCAGTCCGTATCATCAGCGAGTCGCTGAAAACAGTTGGAAGGCGGCAATGGCAGTTGCACTCGCGTCTGTAGAAGATTCGGATCCGGCAAGCAGTGTCTTGTGCACAGCTGTGCTAAACAGGAGATGTATCGAGACCAGGCACACGTTCCGAGCGCATCAGGTGGTCGGAGTACAAGTTGTTCGGTGGAGAGAAGAAAGCGTGGGATGTTACCGTATCGCCACCCCACCTCACCCCAAACAATGGTGGATGGTCCCTCTGTGTGCGCGTTGTGTCCACCTCGTCCATGACGATGCTGCAGCTCACGAAGAGTGCGTAGCTGCATATTCGCATTCAGCTGCCGGTCACGCTGCTGATTCGAGTGCAAACGTCCGCACCGTGTTTTCCGTCCCCGCTATCTGGCAAGCGCCATCCGACATAGCACAACAACTTGCAGCCCCGCAGCCTCTTTACTGAGCCCTGTTGCCTGCGCACAACACTAGTGCGGTCAGCTGAGCTCGACGAGAAGACTGCTAGGACCAACACGTTGCTATGTAGCAAGCACGACAAACACGGTAAAAAACGACTCGGAACGACAAGCGTGTGATCGAACCCTCTCGTGCTTTCGCAACTGGAAAAGAAGCCGAGAAAAAAGTCGATCGGCCAGTACAAGTCCAGCGCAACCTCCTGCTACTACTGAACTTGTCTGCTCTACCGGTGCCCGAACAATACCCGCACTTCCGTGCAAGTCCCTCATCGCGGGGTGTGGTGTGTGTGTGTGCAACGACACCCGCTATCGTCTCTGCCATCTGCTCACTCTCCGTATCCATCTGCGTCGGCAGGCGACACGCTGTATCACGCGGCTTTGTTTCTACACGCACACATCTCACTGATCCGCAAGAGTCTCTTCCAGTTGTTCTCGTCGTCTGCCGTCGTCTGCCGTCGTCGGGGCAGCAGAATGTTTGCCAACCAGACGCACCTACTCGCAGAGTCCGTCGCTGGTCAATTCCGTATCGCCACTTGAGCTTGAAACGTCGAGTCCGAGTCCGACATTGAAACAGAGCCTCGTCACGGAATCGATACACTCGAACGTGACTCGCTGCTCGCTGCATTCATTCGCTGCATGAACAATGGCGTCGGCCGTGCATTTACCATGCGACCGCAAACAGACGCGCCGGATGCGCCATCGCGCCGCGAGGCAGATCACTAACGTGCTGGAAGTGTGTCTCAACTCGACCCGCACGAAGGAGCAGTGGTCGCGATTACGTCGCGAGAAGCACGAGGAGCTGTACGCCAAGAGCACCAAACGAGGAGTGACGAACGACGGCCCGTCCGTCGATTACTTGGCTGTCAACGAGGCGTCGTGCGGGTTCGAAGAAGCGGTTGCTCTCTTGCACTTCGACTCGACCGCTCGATTTCGACTCCTGATGAAGCTCTTGCACGGTCGCGACTTCAAAGATGGGGCGTTGATGGCGATAGGCACAGACGACCAGCTCGCGCTCGACGGGTTGGCCGCCGACACGCAGCACGCAGCGATTCGGTTCACCTATCGGGACCACCGCAAGTCCGTACTCCTGCGGGACCAGCACCTGACGTTTTTCCAGACGCTCAAAGTGTTGCTCCCCGACACGCTGCCGGAACACGAACGCGACTACCGCAATGCTGCCGCTTCCTTGTCAGCAACTGCACTACCTTTGACTGGGCCAAGTGCACGTCCGAACGGCGGAGTGCACAAACGGACGGTCGCCCTGAGCTGGCTGCCATTCCCTCGCTCGCACGGTGCGAGTCAGCAGGAACCAGCGCGACGGGTCGACTTGCAGTACACGTTGATCGTCGAGGAGATAGCTGTGCATTGACTGCGTCTCTCGTGTGTGACCAGCTCGTATCACGAGCAACACAAGCGCGCGTCGACCAGCTCGCCCTGGACCGCACGAGCCATTGCACGGCGACTTGCGCTGCGATCGGTTGGCAAACTCGAGGCAGCAGTTGCAGCCGCTCGACTTGGCGGCTGTCAGTTTGTGGCACCGCATCAGTGGGTGAGAAATGAAGACCGCGCGCGTTGTGTGGTCTGCTGGAAACGCTTCCACGCTCTCTTTCGCCGTCGACACCACTGTCGTCTCTGCGGAGAGGTCATTTGCGGCTCGTGCTGCTCATTGCGCACGACGAACGTCGTCAATGTCGAGACGAGGGCAGCGCAAAAGACCCGCATCTGCCACATGTGCCACAACGAGGCGCGACTCCCGACCGGAGCGCTTGCGCTCTCGAGCGGCAACCCACGCCACATTCATACCAGCACCAGACGCGTTTGCGTCGATTGTCCACGTCTGGAACAGCCTCCGTTGCTTGAATCGGACTCCGACGTCGAACTTCCTCGATCGGTACGAGCAGATTCAGCGGATCGGAGCGACGTGACACTCTCGGCCTTTGAAGCGCTGTCGCCGTCAGTTGGTCTCTTGGTATCAGAACGGACGATGACAGAGACCCTAGAAGCGAGCAGCGAGATGTGCGACTTGGCCCGAGCCGAGAGTGACGGCTACATTGGCGCACTGCCTGATCGAACGACAGATACGGCTGTCACCAGTAGCAAGATCATCTCGATCAAGTCGATCGCACGTCGCACGAAAACCTTGTGGCAGGCAATGCCGTCCACGACAACCAGCAGCAAAGCGCTATGGCCGTTTCGAGCACCGGATTCGAGCAGCAGCGTCAACTCGACATGTAGCGTGCATTCGTCCGAGTGGGCTGGCGGACGAAGAAGCATTGGTGGCGGGTTCAAGGCCTCGATTCTCGAGGATAGCAGCTCGAGGTCGTTCCTGCATCCATCAGTCACAGTGTCGAGGTCGAAACCGACAACGACGCAGCCGATGATGGGAATCACAGCCGAGGCAAGCAGCTATAGCTCTGTTGAACGGTCGTTCCGGGCATCCTGTGAGCTCGTCCACTCGAAGGAGCTAGACGAGGGAGACTCGAGATGGTTCACGTATCGCCGAACGTCCTTGATGAGCTCGAACGTCGGTTTGCTTGACCAGGAGTCAAGTGCTTACGAAGGCTGTTTCTTGCCAACACTCGATATAGCACGCGAAGCAGAGCGTCTGAAGCTGCTGGATCTGATTGTCTCGCCTGCCTGTACGCTCGTGGATCGCACGGTCATGCATCGCAGCTGTGAGATTGCTGCCGCTGCCTTTGGTCTGAGTGCTGCTTTTATCGCACGAGTCGACGAGACCTTTGTGATGATCGAGCACAGCATTGGGACTTGCAGTTTGTCACCTCTCGATGTGATCTTGCGGCGCGAGTCGTTGTGTGATTTCGTCCTCTGTCAACCTCAATGCCAACCTCTGGTAGTCGTAGACTGCCTCGTTGATCCACGCACTCGAGATCTTCCAATGGTACAGCACCTGTGCATGCGCTTTTTTATTGGCATCAGCGTATGTGTCCGCGGTCTCCCCATCGCGTGCCTGTGCGCTTTCGAACAAGGGGACGGCAAACAGTACGAAGGAGACGGAGAACTAGTGTCGGCATCATACTGCGAGTTGGATATTCTGAGAAATGCCGCGCGTCGCATGGAGGATGAGCTGGAAAGCCTTGTCCATGGCTTAGAGTTGTGCTAGGCGCGGTGGGGTCAGTTTGCCGATGGCTATCTAAATAGGCTCATCTCGCGGTTCCACCAGAATTTCGTTCACAGCCACATATGGCGGTTGCGTGACGGCGTACAATACAGCGCGCCCGATATCCTCTGGCTTGAGCACCTCACACTCTGTTGCAGAGTACCGCAGCGAATGAGCGCACTCTAGTTAGAGAAAACCACACTAAATAAGAATGAAAGCAACTTGGAACTTGACCCCGTACCGGAACTTCCTCCGTACAACTTCATCGCTTCTTCATCGACTCCGCTCGCAGCGTTTGCATGCTTGACCAAGTCCGTCGCAACGTTCCCAGGCTGCAAAAATAAGCAATCGAAGCACCCATGAGTCCACTACGGTAGCGACGACTTTTCCAGTATAGTTCTGGCAAACACACACAGCTCAATCAACCTGAATGGAGGTCACGCGCAATCCACTACCGACGTGTTCAAGGCGCAGTGCTTGAGAGATGCCCTCGACAAACATCTTGGATGCCGAGTACACGCCCAATCCAGGGAACACTTTGCGCCCAGCATCAGACGAGATGTTGACAATGTGGCCACTCTTGCGAGCTAGCATCTTGGGCAGCACGGCAGCCACACCATTGAGGGTCCCTTTGCAGTTGACGTCGATCGTCTTTGCACACATATCCATTGCGTACCCCACGAGCCATCTTTCGTCAGCAGGCCGTACGCATACCGTCACCAAACAGTTACTTCTTCGTGTCTCGTAGACGTACTCGATCCCAACTGTCCTGATTCACGTTCTTCAGCAGCTCAAACGGCATTACGCCAGCTAGACGCAACATACACATCGAAAGTATATCGAAAGGACCAATCGTTGCACAAATGACAGCCATGTGAGCACCATCACTCCACAAAGAGGTGGAAAACGGATCCCTCCAACCGTTATTCACGAGGATATCCACGGCGTGAAACGTCTCCTCCGCCCTGTCCACGAGCGCCTGCACCTCTTGGCGCTTCGTGACGTCCGTCTGGACAATGAGAATATCCCCACAAGATCCCGTCTGTTGCTCAATGCTCGTTTTGACAGCCTCCAGCGCTTCGAGGCGTCGGGCCCCCAGCACCACTTTGGCTCCTGCGACTGAGAGTTCCAATGCAATGGCTAAGACAGTGTGAACGCAAGAAAAAAAGAGGTCAGCGATGACAGAAACGCATCAACATACGATTCGGAGCTGCGTACCGGCACCGATACCGCCTGAGGCGCCCGTGATCACTGCCACTTTGCCGCTCAACTGCGTGTTGTTGGAGCTCATTTGTCAGCTTTTCGCTTACAGCGTCCAGAGATACTCGAAAATAGTATCTGACGTGTAAAATTTGAGCAAAGATGAACGCAGCGATCGGAGTCTGGTAAACTATTTTACCGGAACCGTATCGCGTAAATTTCGTCACAAAGTCGCAAACAAGATCAGCATCGCTCGTCCGTTCGAGTGAGTATACGCAACACGGATGTATACCACCGATCCAAAGTACTGAAATACCTCCATCGCCACCACAGCGATACACTGGCCATGTACATGGCCCATACCTTTCGACGTTGTCGTGGCGGATGTCACACACGCCCTCCGACCGTTCCGCCTTTGCGTCTTTTGTGTCTTTTCTTCTCCTCGCAGAAGCCCAACGCGCCGTTGAACCTGTTCGAGATCGACTTGAAACCATTCGAGGCGTCAGTCCCGTCCACGGAAAAGCTCACTTTGGATGACGCGAAACGGGCATTGGCATTGCAACAGACGGACGCGCAGCACGAAATTGATGGGTTGCATGATGGTAATGGGAGGCCCAATGAATTGGGTTACTGGTATACGGAGGCGAAGGGCTAACTACGAATGTGAACATTGTAACGGTAGAGATGTCGGCGCTCTTCGGAGAAGAAGTGGCGGAGTACGAGGAAGAGAGATTAGCGCCAAGTACGGATGAGAATGCAAAGAAGATCGTGCAGAATGGAGTATGGACGAAGGATCACGCGGTGATTCCGTCGAGCAGGGGCCTTGCTGCTGGAGCCAGGGTCGCGTGTGGTACGCAGCAGAGAGAGCGATGCCAGCTGCCGACTTCAGGGTTCATGAGTGCTGACGTCATGTCAACAAAAGAAAAGGCCACAAGTGGACGGAAGGTTGTCGCGCGTAGCGGCGGCTTGGTTGGGGCTGGACCGGTGGACGTGCTCTTGCTCCATGGTCCATGCAGCTTTGTTCGGGATGTTTGGACTGTGTACGTGCAAAGTGTAACATGCTCGAGTGCTAGTGGTGAGATCGTTCGATTGACGTCGAGCTGTCCTGAAGAGGTGACGTGAAGAAGGCAGAGCTGTGGCAGCAGATTCACGAACTTGCTGACGATCTCAAGATTGTGGTCGAGAGTCGCAATTACAACTCCGAGAAAAGGATTTTGGAAAGCTTACTCGAAGCACAGAAAGACCAAGTGATCGTGTTGTACTGGAACAGTGAGTCGAAGAGTGCTCGATACGAGTCAAGGCCACCCGACCCTGCGGTTAGCTGGGCTTGGCTTACTTGTAACAACAACACACTGACGCTTGTTTGCGTTCGTTTGTTGTGATGCTTGCAATTTGCAGTTAGTTTGAGCAAGTCACCGTTCATTGTTCGGGCTCTCGAGCTCATCCAGTCCAAGACGATTATAGTGAGCCCTGGCAACATCGAGCATGGACCGTTACCCGCAAGCGTTGTCGGTGTGCTGTCAGGTAAGCGACTGATTCATTATCGGGTCATGCGTGTTGTCTCTAGTTACGTATGCCATCTATCTTCGTTACTTGATATTATCGAGGTGAACTGATCCACGTTTGCATGTGTTTTGTCGTCAAAAGGCTTTCGACAACTGAGCTTATCGCTAGCATTCCATGCTGCTGCAAAACTCCTGGTGGCGAATGCCAGAGAGGGGCGATAACCGTGTGAAGATGTTGGATCCGAGCGCTCCAGGGATTCGCCTCGAAGAAACGCTCGCGCGGGCAAAGAAGGGATGAGGCACGACGGGTAGGAAGGAGAGAGAGAGATTAGAGCGCAACATATGGCTGCTCATTTCGAAGTGAGATCCGTGCACAACGAAACGCAGGACTGTCACTTGTGTCGTGGAACGGTAGAAAACAAAAGTGCGGTCTCGAGGGCACGGTCGGCGACATGTAAGAGAAAGTATCTGACTTTGGTCAAGTGTCCATAGAAAGCCTGACCCACAGAACATCGACTATACCCATACGACGCAAGCAATGCAAGTCGCGATTTTATCAATTTAACACAATGGAACTATTTCTTTTGTCAGCGCCTACCAGCCTACGAATGTGTTCGTTCTCTTATGAGCATTGTCTATAAAATCTTACGAAGTAATGACTGCATCTATCACAGAGAGATCTGTTACATGTCGTTGACGAATAAGGTACTGCCAAATGCTAGTTTTGAGCAAACAAAACACAATGATGATGTCACCGTGACGGTACTGAAGAGTCAACAGGTAACGGCACTCTGCTCATCGGCTGACATTGGTCATAATGTCTGGCAATAATCGAGCGATTTACCACTCAAGACGAGACGCGCTCAACGAGTGGTAAGTACGCAACATACGCGCATGCAGTTGTAGTAACTTAAAGTAGGTTCCGACTAGTTTATATTGCGACTTGAGTTACGAGATAGAGGAACGAGATAGAGAAACAAGCTCTCGATACGCAATCTCAACTAAGTGTTCTAGTCTAGAGCACTGGATTATATGTTGAAGTGAGCGCTAAATGAGGCATCTACAATGTATGCGTATGACGCTGGTGTGTTGGTATTTACACTAGTAGAGCAGACCCTGACAACACGGCAATCCTTTGTCCTGACACCTTTGGTGCTCAGGACCCTTGTCATTTATGATCGCGTGAACCATGTAGTACAAACTTCTGATGACTACCCAGCGTTCAATATACCGAGCTCCTGGTAGCACCGACAAAAGTCAAGGCAGAATATGTTTCTCTCGCGTTCCCTAGTCTACATCACACGATCCGGAGTCTTTACCCCAACCTTGTTGTGTATCTTCTTAGCGGATGCTAAGTGGAGGATTCAAATTGTGTTCGATTGTGCATAACGTAGTGACGATCGAACTGGTGCGTATGCCTCGTGTCAATAAGTATCTACTCGCGCGAATATGCCAGTACCTGAAATGTTCTGGTTCAGACCCTTCGCGTGAGTAGATTTTTCCTAAACCAAAGCATACATGCACCTGGTCCGTCGTCAGCAAGCACGTACTTTATAAGTTCGTACTATACACGAACAGACCAACATATAGTTTGCAGTCTACCTATTTATTTCTACAAAGAAAGAAACGCGTGTACACGACAACAGGAATCGGTAGCAAGATCGATCGGACCGATTCCGTTTCCGATATCCAAAGAATCGACATGTGATCTGACCAGATCTCGTGCTCGAACAGAAGTGACGAGGCTGACATGATACCCACGTTGATCGTCTGCATACAGCGTTTTGCGATCCGTTTGGATCGCGCAAGAGCGCCGGGATCGCTGCTGTCACACGACCCCATGGTTCTGTAGCCAAAGTCAAGGATAAAGGGAGACGGGATCATGACTCAACGCTTGTAGCGACATCAGCGACTGTGACCACTCAGTCTGCTGGTGGTCACATCGAGAAAGTCGTGCTGCTACATGAATGCACCAAGAAGTCATGATTAATCGCGCGTATGGACGAACGGAACTCGACGCGATCTTGTCAAAATATCCGACCCATACCGACGACATCCACCGCAAATAGATCAAAAGTAGAAAATTGCATTGTTTACAAGGGATCAATGGATATACAGACCCGGAGCCATATTCAAAATAGCTTGCACCTCCGAGTAATGAATGGCATGGTGACTTGAAAGTAGAAGGTTTATATTTGTAAGACCGGCAGAAAGGTTTCTTACTAATCCTCACTGTTGCTAACAGCCTCACTAAGCTACTACGGCGACGGAAAATACGAGTAGATGAGTACGTACCACGTCAATGACTAGAATATGCGAGACGCCCTTTTGTATCGGTCGACATCATTAGCAGTTGCGCATCTATGACAGGCTTGCCTTTCAGCACCGGACACGTCCAAACAGGTGAGCGGATTTATGTACGAGCGATATCGTAGGCATCGATTAAATGCGAACATCAATACCGACATGTCATCTTCTAAGCGTAAACGGAGCAACAGACGACGAGGGTGGAGGTAGTTACGAAGTCGAGTATCTAGCTCTGCCCGGATCGACAAAGAGTCTGGGTGTTTTCTTGGACTTGATCCATCATGAAGACCGTCCGCAAGGTGGCTGAATTTGCAGACGTGTAATTGCTCGATCCGTTTTCAGTTCTCAAATGTGCCGTCGCCATTCCATCAGCTGAGTACTTGCTGCTGCGGAAGCGGGATGATGCAGCGACGTATTTTGTGGTACATCGCGCCAGGCTTGTCACACCGTGACCCTTTCTTGGCATCCACTCAAAGCTTCGAACAACGAGACGCCTCAACATGAATGTTCGAATGGTAGTTGGCGCAGGTGTGAGTGATTGAGTGAGAAGGTAAGACGTATTGAGGTACGCGTACGACCCGCTATACCCTGTCGCTTGGCAACAAAGTTACCTGGTGACTACTACAATATACACTAGGTAATTCGCGCTAGTCCTCGGACATCAGAGCGTCGGTGCGCAGAGTCTGGTCTCGAGATGATCAGATTCCTCGGTGTCAGCGCGGGACACTGTAGGACGTGGTTTTCGGCTAGAGTGGCCTCCAGCCAGCGGTTGGCATCATTGGAAAGGAAGGTCGTAGCCTCCTACCTGAGCCAACGACCTTCCTCTACAATGATGCACTGTACCTGACAGCACCTTGATCTGAGGAAGCATTCTGTAACGGGGCTAGAATAACCCGTACTCAGCGTACACTATTTCTAACGCTTTGAGGAAGCTCAAAGCCCAAGTCTTAGGTGTTAAGTATTTTTAACTCTGTTTATATTTTGTCTTTTAAAATCATCCTAAGTACGAATGGTTCCCTTGGACTCATGGGAACCACTCAATCTACGTGTCTATATCTTACTGGCTAATAATGGTACTGAGCCCATTAAACCAGCTAAAATATACGACGTGCTACTTTCGCTACTTCGAAAGTAACACCCCTACTTAAGTAACATGTAAACTTAATCAAAACTACTTATGTAACGGGGTGGCCCATTACATCACCCCCCTTCTCAAGACAGCACTCACCAACCGTGAGTGCTCAACCACAAGACTTTAACGACTCACAAGCCGAACGATGACTGAAGACGCAGACGCCAACAAAACAGCACTCC